GAAGGAAGTGAGTGCTGTAGCTTAGACTTCACTGAAGAACGGGTAGAGATTGAGTGGTTACAAAATGAGAAATAATCCAAGATGTTGAAATGGGAGGAGAGGTTTTTAAGTGAGGAGAGAGAGAACATGATGTCATTTAACTCTAATCTGTACATCAAAGGCAGTAGATTCAATGAAATCAATCTAGATCTATAGTCAGATGACTTGTCGTTGAGCTTAAACTTTGTTGTTCTCTTTGGACTCCTTCAAGAATACTACTATAGAATACAAAAATAGTACTTTGTATATAATAGTAAAGACTTACATTTTGGCAATTTGCAGCCCTCAATTAAGCAATAATGAGCTGCATTTGCTGGTGCAGAAAAAGGCAGTGCTGGGCCACCAACCTCCAATTACAGCAGCATTTGTCACACTGCAACACCATGACTTTGTTCAATATACAGGCAAATGGGTACATCACATCCACTGGTGCCACAAAAGCTTTGTTAAGATTGTAACGAAAGGTATCTCAATGATATAAGGACTTTTGTAGGAAAAATGGTATTCTCCCTGTTGTGATATTAAATTCTGAGCAAACACCTTCAGCATTTGTTTCTGTTGGGAAAAAAACAATAACAGGTAAGGGCTCCAATCATGCCAGGTAAGTCTTTGAGTGACGAAAGGAACATAAATCCTAATGTCAGTCACCCTTGCAGAAGAGTTTTTACTTTTTCAGATAACTTTTGGAGACAAGACAACTGCTAGTCTTCCTCTGAGATTAACTTTCCCTCCTATATTCTGTGTTACACAAAACATCAAGCACTGGTTAAATAAAAAGGAGAGCATCAAACTGTTAGAGCATGTTGTTGGTCCATATTGTGTGCGGAAACGAGATGAATTCAAGTTATCAAAATCACAACCAGCTTTAATAATCTGAGATGATTTTAAGAGTCGAATTACTGAAAATGTCAAGCAGAAGCTGCAGTCTCTTGACATTGACTTGGTACCTGTACCAGCAAACATGACCCACTTCTTCAACCTTAGTCTCACATGCAATAAATTAGTCAGCCAATAAGTTATTGAAGTACACTTTAACCCTTGTATGCCCAATGGCTGATAGCTATGTTCAACCACTTCACTTCTGAAAAGGGAAAAACAGCAATTTTTAAACGATGGAAAAGATCAGGCATTTCAGGAGTTCTCACAAAAAAGATTTGTTTTTTCTCGTATTGATCCTTTCATAGAATTTGATACACTAAGAAACAAGTGTATAGATTAGGGAACCATGTTCTTTAATCCTTAAAAAATTAAATGAGTTACGAGTTAAAATTAGTAATGCCAAATCTGTTTTCATAGAGAAAGATAAATTTAAGTACACACAATCAGAGATTGATTTAAGGTTCTACAACTCAAAGTTAAAAGATTAATATTAAAATGTGGATTGATTTACTATTTCATAAAAACTGATATTTAATAATACCAGAGTATTCCAAAGTATCATTTAATATAGTATCATAGCCATAATTGTAGGCATTGTGGCTACAGCTGGACAGCAGGTGTGAGGTTTCGCTGGTTAAAGAATTATAAAGTGACTGCAAAATGAATACATAGTGTATTGAAGTGATTGTTACATCTTGTTGTGAAAAGGTGAAGTTTTATTGTGATGGCTGCTTATTGAAAGTTCTACGAAACAATTATTGAAGTTTATCTCCTTACGCTGATAAAACCCTAAGGGTGGGAGTCAGCTGAGCAACTTTGTCACCAGCATAGGCGACTGCAGATATTTGCATTCAACCAGGCTCATTAATTATTCATATCAATTGGGGGTGTGGTCAATTAATTAAATGACTAAAAACTTACTGTCACAAGCCACTGAAGCCAGTTACCACACTAAAATAACTGTAAAGATGAGCTGATACTTATATAAACAGCTGTGGGTATTAAAAATGAATCTGAGTGTCCTAATCATAACGAAACACCTTTTGGGTGTGGTTTTGATTAAAAAATACCAGGGCAAAGGCCGGGCTTGCCCGTGCCTGCAGGCACCTATGGTTGCCAGTAGCTTTTGACGTGTTTGTGCAACATGTTGCATTAATTGGAGAGTCCTCTACTTCATGCAAAATGTTGCCCAAAAACATGAAAGGTTTAAGCACAAGTTGCACGTAATAACACTGCATAGTGGATGCCCACCTTATCTTTTGTAGCTTGAAGTAGTAATTCATACGACAATGAACTCCTTGTCTTGAAGGTAAGAGGATAATTTAAACTGAAGCATAGCTGCAATAGTAAGAAACAGTCTGCCAAAATTTTTTTCTTTCTGCTAGTCCCTTGCAAGAATTCGTGCACCACAATCAAGATTGTTACTTGACTAAAAGTCTGTAAAATAAAACATTGCCTTTCATATTATTATTCTGTTGATGCTACATTCAATTGTCAGAAATTGCATCATCGAAGTTACTTAAAAGGACAACGAACAAATTAGAATCTGCATCAGAAATGGCACTTATTATTACAGAACAGGTTTATCTCTTCCAGAGTACAAGAAGTTAAAGTAGCTGTCTTGATACAACACATTTATTTTATGTAAACTAGAACACTTCCTCAAGAAGAGAAAAGACAGCTCCAATATATATAGTTGCCTTCACTTAACACCTTATAGCAGTAGCAGGTTGCTATAAGTCAAAGTTTAGGTTCAGAAACTTTCTTTCGATCAAAACAGAAAGAAAAGTGGACAGATATAGCCAAAACAAAATGGCATGTAAGATGAAATTCATGGAAATGAATGTATAAAAGGAAACAATTCATTAATGATGACCAAACAATAATAATAGCCAATAGCATAAGGCCAAACCTTAGATGTTGTTAGTCAAGAACAGAGTCCAATCCATATGAGCAACATCGCCTGTATTAAGAATACCTTGATCTAAGATTCTGGATTCTTATTTAGGTCAGGAAAATGCAATTCAGTGACATGGGTAGACGCTGTACAGTAATTACACGTTTAGAGAAAGATGAAGATGGCAAAAATCAGATCCCATGAAAATGAACTATACCTCACCACAACCATTACATAAGCAAATCTTTTCCATTGAATTAAGTTAATTGTAGCATGAAATAACACAGGATTAACATTTTTAGATCCTAGGCAATAAATGATCTCTGTAGTAAGCCACCAGATGTAGACATTAGACAGTGGCATTAAAGTTGTTAAGAGGCAGCAGGGCTTGTAGACTTAAAATGTGAAGGAATGACGTCTCGGAAAATACAAAAGAATTGCACCTTTGAAGAATTTTTTATTTGACAGTCTTGTATCAACAGATTTTTTCAAGGTTTGTTTCCTCAACTTATTTTAATTATAAATAGCATCAATAAGAATTAATGTAATAGCCTTGTGTCAAATCTTTCAGTCCTAAGCAATAAAACGGCTGTAAAATCATGCAATACTTTGAAAAAGTACCTTTTCCTTTGTCTAACTACTGAAGTTCACAAAAGCTGTTCCAAATAACTTTCTGGTAATTGTCAATTCAAAAGTTAGAAAGTGTGCTTACATTCTCCTTAAACCTTTTCTTAGTCTTAACTGACTATCTGCACTTTATATCAGTAAGTTATTTATTTATGCTATATATTGTCAAACCTTAATTGTTTCATAACACTAACTGGAACCTCATTAACATCAGGCACAAATTGGCTAACACAAGTAAATAAAAAACATTTAAAATGGAAAAGTAGTAGGATTAAATTGGAAAAAAGTAAAGAAACAAGAGGATACTTGCAAACTGGTGATGTAAAAAATCCTACACCACTGCATAAAGAATATTAATCAAAAGCCCACACTAAGTACCTGAGATACTGAACTATAATTATACATGAAGCTATGTCTTTCTTGCAGTGGTGTAGGATTTCTTACATCACCAGTTGCA